AAGCTGATAAAAGCAATGTGAGAACTTGATCTGATAACCAAGATTGCTGCTAAAGTGACCAATGGCGGGCGGCATGGACAGTCAAGATGTAGAATATGTCATCACCCGGTAAGTTTCCTAGTGCTCCTTTGCAGTCAGGTCTTCCACACATCCTGACTGAGCCTTTGACAACCAGTATTTTTGCCTTTTTCAGAATGTCATGTAAATTCAATCATGCAACATGTAACTGAGTCTTCTTCCACTTAGCATAGTGCTTTCGAGTCATTCCTATTGTCCCATGTATCAGTGATTTGCTCCATTTAATTGCTGAGCAGTATTCCATTGTGAGTGCACCACGCTTTTTCTTTGCTTAATCCCATTCACCAGTTGGTGGACCTTTGGGCTCTTTCCACTTTTCGACAGTGGAATATGAATAAAGGTGCTCTAAAAATTTGCGTTTAGGTTTTATTGTGAATGTATATCTTCATTTCTCATGTGCAGATACTTAGAAATAGAATTGCTGGGTTGTATGGAAAGTGTGTAACTTGAGTAGAAACCGCCTAAGTGGTTAATTCATTTTACATTCTCATCTGAGTTTCAGGTTCTTCACATCCTGTATTTGATATCGTCAGTTTTTTGAGCCATTCTATAAGTATGCAGTGGTAGCCTGAGATTTTCATTTGCATTTTCTTAGTGACAAATGATGTTGAGGTTTTGTCCATTTGTTTAATTGGGTTGTATGTATTCTTATTACTGACTTTTGAGAGTTCATTGCACATTCTGAGTACCAATCCTTAGCATGTGTGTATATCTGGCCTTTATCAGATATATAGTTTATATTTTCTCTTGGGCTATGGTTTGTCTTTTCATTTTCTTATCAGTATCATTTCAAGACCTGGAGTTTTAAAAATTGGTGAGTCTAGTTATTTATCATCCTTTTCTCTTATGGTTCAGGCTTTCTGTGTCCTAGCTAAGAAATCGTTGCCTAATCCTTTTAGTTTTTACTGTACCCTTCCTAAATTATCCCCAAATACTCCACCTTTCAGTGGCCAAACATATCAGGCAATGGTGAATGGGATGGGAGGGGTCCAGGCAAAATATTGCCTAGGGGTCAAATCATTCCCCTCCCTGTTTTTATAAATAAAGTTTACAAAGTGCCACAATGACAGAGTCAAGTCAAAAGAGCCTGAATTGACCTCAAAGCCTAAAATATTTATTATCTGCTCCTTTAAAGTATTTTGACCCCAGAGACCACCTATTAGGTCCCTACCCCCAACCTTTGCTGGGCGGTAACTCCTAGAGCCCCTTGCTCTTCTGTGTCTGTCTGGGCAGGTTGTTTTAAAAATCTTAGCTACTGTCCTGAAAAATTCTGTTCCTGTCTCATATGTTAGAGTCCCTGTTTCTGGGATCCCAAGTCTTTCTTGGTTTATTCCATTCCCTCCGTCTGATGGAGATTT